ATTGACATACCTGTATTGACTGGGCTATAAGCATAAGTGTTAAAGGTTGAAGAGCTTTGAAGTATCTAGGTAGGTTATTGAATTTGCTAATGCTATTCCTTGAAAAGAAATAAATTTAAATGCTTGTTCAAAATACAATGGATTTTCATAATAGGTAATACAAGTACTATGTTGAAAATGGGTTTCTACCACCAACGATTTTACGTTAGTAGTCATGGCTATCCCTTGGCACGCCCCCGTGGCGTAATGTTAAAACGCCCGGATGGTATGGCCCGTGCATTTGTAGTAGAGACGTCCACTGTAGGTAGAACGTGGAAGATTTTCTATGTCAAGCGAAATTCTAGCTCTGTCCTTCGGGGTACTCTAGACGTCGTATGCGTCAGAGATGCGCGCTATGTATGTACTATCATATATAGCACACCACCACATTGAGGGTGCAAAATTACTTTCCTGCTAATAAACTGCCAACTGCTGGTAGCCTTTGGCAAGCCTTGTAAATTTACATGCATTGCTGTATTTTGGGGACTGAGCAGCTGAAGACAGCTGACGCCGGGTTCTGCAGCTGCAACTCTGCCAGTTTTCAGTTTTACTGAAAGTAGATCTGTGGTTAACCCTACCCTGACAACACAGGCCACCTAGTGGCCCGTGCACTCGTCACCCACCCGACTACGTAGCCTCCACCTACTATATCCTAGATCTCATAGAACCCTTAGCTCTACCTACTTCTTACACAATACAACACAGGTTACGATTACAGAATACCACTTCATCGCTCACAGAAGTCGGATTCTGGATTGCTCCAACAGTCTCTGTTCTCTGATATTACTTCTCAAGAGTTCCGACACAGCGTACCTGTACTGAAAAGGAAAACCTCTATTGACCCATCTGTGATCGATGTAACGATGCCTCGTGCTGGTAGTGCACCCCCCAACCAGCCCCCCAACATCCCCCCCGCAGAAGCTCCAACAGGGTCCTCTCAGGCCCACCCGAGGGCCCCTCCGAACAGCACGACCTCTCCAAAAACTACGACGACCTCTCCGAGCGTTCCAAGTCGCTGGGGATTTCCCTTTGGTACAAGAGGAAGAGGCTCAAGCATTTAGGGTCATTCGATTCGCCATATTGGGCTGATGCAAGTGAAATCGTCGAGGAAGAGATCAAGAAGACTGCGAATGACCATGAGCTAAGACACACCGAGTTCTTGCAGCGCGGCGGGAAGGAAGAAAGGTGGGCTGACAAGAAAGTCAATGTGGACTACGAGGCTCGAAAAAAAGCACTGGCATCAAAGCTCTCTCTAATGAATGAGCAAGTGAAGCGTACAAACATAAGCGGGAAAGACAACCAAGCAATGTTTCGTTCATACCTGACACTTTTCACCACCTCTGTCGCCGGTCTCAATGTAAAGAACCCTGAACGACGGGCTCGGAACTCCTCAGAGCAATCGAACTTCAGAACAAGCATCTTAGATGCATACGGCCTGCGGGGCACAGGTGCAAGGAGGGACCTGGTTTGGGATGTCATTCTGGGACGATGGCAGCCGGAAGGGATCATGGTAGCCTCACACTTGTTCTCGTATAGGTTCACTTCTGCGACACTTACAGCCATCTTTGGTGGAGAAGTTCGAGACGAGCTGTTTTCGCCAAAAAATGGCTTAATGCTCCACGAAGTTTTCGAAGACGATTTCGAAAGTGGCTTTTTTGCGATTGTCCCAGATCTGCCATACGAGGCTACTACGGAAGAGCGGAAAGCTTGGCGACAAAGCCAAGTGAAGGAATACAAGATTCGCTTCATCGACAAGCCTACTCCGAAATGGGTGCCTGGAGGAAAGCTTACCGAACCCCACCGACACAAATATAACACCATGTGGACTGACAACGAGAAGTGGAGTGATGTCGATGGGAGAAAATTACAATTCCTTAACGATTTCCGGCCCCGGGCGAGATATCTATATTTTGTGTTTTGCCTCAACCTGCTTCGGTTTGCATACCGCTTTGAAAAATCAGCGGCAAGCATCCTAGAGCCAGAGCTTAGGAAGTTCTACTGGGGGTCGCCGAAGCGATATGTTCGTGGTTCTATGCTGCCTGGATTTATGAAAGAAATAGGCCATAAATACCACGAAATATTCGAGGATCCAGAGGGGGAAGAAGAAGAGATCATCAAGGGGATAGAAGACGAAAGCACAAACGACGTGCTCCGGGAGGCTGCGACCTCCCAAGTCCTCCTCAGAACAATGAACAACGACGATGACGATGACGAGAGTTCATCCGACGAAGGCGACGATGGGGACGACCAGCCCACCTAAAAGGGTCTTTCCATCTATAACCCCGCAGAAGCCCACAGGAAACTTGTGGAGGAAACCTTGCATTATCTAGCTGTCTAGGTCCACTCCAGCAAAGAGATGCCTCAACGTATTCCGTTTTCGACTCCCATTACGATGAAGACCTGGCGTAGATGGCGCGCTTATTCCTTTTATACCTGTGAAAGATATCGATAGAAAGGGAAGAAGTCCTTGGAAGTTAGGTAACTAAATGGCGCAGCTATATACACTCAAATACCAAATATAAGCGCTTGTCTGCCATCATCTTCAAGCTTTCATACATTAGGTACACATCAACCATAATCTTCTCAATTCGGACTGCATCGCTTTCGCGTTGAATCAATCAAATTCTCCCATCTCAAGAAAATTGATCGATATCTTTCATTGTGTATACGATGCAATTTGGCAGATGCATCGGTCAAGGTATATCAATGAGCCTTATGTTCTTAGTTGTACTCACCTACTTACCTACCTAGGTACCTAGTAGGACATTTATCGTAGGTATTACACTTCAATCTTGTATGCACCCACCAAATCGAGCCGTATCAAAGAATGAAATGTGTCAATCAATTTTTTGAGATGACAGTAATCAATTGATATAGGCCCGACAGGGAATAGATCAGAAACATAGGTTTCGCAAAGGGTTGGAAGTGTGAATGTAGCTTGGACTATAGTATCATGACAAAGTATCATGGCGATACCTACACCTGGCGTTAAGGCACGGCGCGGTTGGCCACATACACACGACGCGGCCAGCGCCGCCCACAAACAACCACACCGATCCCCACGAACAAAACACACTTGCGCTTTCACCTTCATCACCCTTCAGACCAAGATACCGCAAGTACGTACCGCCTTATGAAGTCATACTGACAAGAAGCAATACCTAGGAGAGTTCGTAACACGTAGAAGCTTGACCGCACTCACACCAGCCATCATACACCACCCGCCCGTCGCAAGCCATCCTGTGCGGCCAATTGGTCATTCGTGAATCCGGCATTCATATCTCTGATGTATTCGTCAAACTTCCTAGCTGTTCGGAGCACCTCTTCCATCACTTTGTAATCCAGTTTGTAGCCTTGCTGGTTCAGCTGCTTTCGCTCCCACCTGGCGTACTGCCTTGCCGTCGTGATAACATTACGGATCTCTCTGCCGTTCATCTTATGACTAGCTAGCTTCGTGACATTGTCATGCAGGTCGTCAAAGTCTATGCCTTCCTCCTTCAACTCTTCTAAACGGCCTATGAAGTTGCGCCAGATCTGTGTTCGCTGGTCGAGGCTCAGATTATGATAGTGTACTGCCAGCTGGATTCGTGATTCGAATGCTTCATCGAAGGTACCGACGCGGTTGCTCGTCAAGACAAGAATCCCATCGTAATATTCGAGGACACGTAAGAACACGGATACCAGCGCATTACGACGGAGATCCTCGAGGCTTCGCTGCTCTAGGAAAATGTCGGCTTCATCCAGCAAAACCACGCAGCCCCAGGTCTTGCCAATATGAAGTACCGACTCGAGATAGGTTTCCACAGCCTCGGGCTCTGTTCCAATGTCTCCGCATGTGACTGGGTATAGGGGCTTCTGGGCAATCTCAGCTACACTCTCAGCCGTGAGAGTCTTGCCCGTACCGGGCCCGCCGTGTAAGAGCAAGATCAAGCCGTTGCCTTTCCCACTAATCAGGTCTGTGGATCTCTCTGCCTCGATCTGGTTGCTGATCAGTGCCTGGATCATTCGCTTGGTCTTTTTGTCAATGACGAGGCCATCAAATGCTCGTGTGTTCCAGACTGGTTCCTGGAATCTGTCGACCTGTAGATCTACCCATTTCTTTCTCTTGAGAGTGAAACCTTTAATCGTCCTCGGCGTCAAGTAGATGAACTGGTCGTCAGGGGGATTGTCCGCTTTCAGTATGTCAGGTTCAAGCGCGTTAGTGCTGGTGAAGCGTGTCCGGTTGTTTTGGTTTCATGGAGCCTACGATACATCATCATGTCGATCATGTACCTTTCCTGTTCGGAACTCTGGAACTCTCTATCCACGTCATCACCGTAGGAAACCATGCATCTAACGCGACACTTCCATATCCATTCACCCCTGCGTTGTAGCCTCGATACTGTTTGGCGGTTGGCATAGCGCAAGGGTCGAATTCCCAAGTCGTCGATGTTTTTCTCTGATTGATCTTTGTTGTCAAAAGGGAGCATTTCATGGTAGATGGCAAAGTATGGGGCTGGAAGTTTCGATGGCTCCGTCTCGTTGGAGAATCGGTAGTGCTCAAGAAACTTGTCAACAGCGACGTTGAGCTCATCCGTCATAACCTCGATTATTTCTTCAGCATGCCGGGGGCCGCTTAAGAATCCGGATGTTCTGGCTGGTCTCGATACATCAATATGAGGACCAAATATATCGTAATCTCGATACACGATGAAGCAGACGTCAGGATGCCTGGAGAGATAGGCCGGAATGTCGGTGACAAACAAGTAATACTTACCTGGTTATCGTGTGATATGATACTGCGAAGGAAGAACAATTATCGTCAGGCGCAACTTTGATTCTGCATCATAAATAATCAATCCCCCTTAACTTCAATAGCATAGATACAGAGTCCTTCGAAATGGGCTACAAAGAGTTGTTGTTGGTTGGGTTAAAAAAGATTTGGTGAAAATATGAAAAAGAGAAGAAGAAAAAGAAACAGTGGCTGCGGGCCAGATTCGAACTGGCGTCCTTGGTTATGTTGTCCCGGTCGCATCGTTCGCCCCTTTTCGCTGTGTCTGGCATCCACAGCGTGTTGTGGTGTCTGGCATCCGCGTTTAGGGGTTAGTGGATGGGCCAGGACTGACGCACCAAGATCATAACCAACTAGACCACCGCAGCTTTGAACTGTTGGAAGTGATTTAGCAGCCTTACCTTATAAGCTTTTGGGCAGTTGCTGTTTTCCGGCAAGCGCGTCTCCAGACGACGATGCCCCTTCTATCCGCCGCGGAATGTCAAGATAACATCCTCTTGTCCCTACCATTCAATACGCGATGCACTATTCAGGATCTTGGTTTCACTGGAGCTTCGAGGCGATCGGGCTCATTTGCCCTTGCCATTATAGATCTTGGTAAGCTCATCTCAACTGACTTTTCAATGATTGAAGGTTCCGTAGGTAGGTAGTTGACTCAAGTTATCGTACGCAATTTTGTCCACAATTTCCATGTAATCTCGCTCTTTCATGGGTCTCTTAAGATAACCCGCAATAGGGCCACCATAAGTTTCAGCTGGCAACGGACTTAGTCCTAGTGGTTGTTCCTGTCGCAGCTTTGATCGTCAGAAATTGTGGTTTTTAGGGCTGTTGATTGTTTCTGCCTCGCATCCTTGAACGATGTTGGCTCTGGTTCAGATGTCTCCTGTTGATTGGTTGAGTATGGGGTTCTTCCTCCTCCTCAGCTATGACGCTGTGGTGATCACTGTCGTTCGATGAATAGAAGGTTTGCTGATTACGATATTCTTCGTGTTTTCGTAGAGGTCGCCTTTGAGCTACTTCTTCCTCGCTAGAACAGACGTACTCTTCCGACTGGTTTTCGACGTCACTACGGCTTCGATCCCTTTCTATGTAATCTTCCTCGTGGTCATCGCCTCCTTCAACAGATCTTTTGTTGTCTTCGTCTTCGAGTGGATTACAGTCGTGCGCAGGGGATACAGAAGCAGGCTAGAACTCCTGATCAGGCTCTGAGCGTCGAAATTGCTGCTCAGGCTCTGAACACCACAGCAACGGTTGATTCGCGCCAGCAGATCCAGGAAGTCCAAATATCTCGACTCGTTACCCGTATGGCTGTTACCACATTTCCTGATCCGATGGAAGTCTTAGCTGAGCGTCAGGCGAGATCTTTAGATGGGTTACAATTCTGGCTGGACGCAAGAATTCAGCGATGAAACCAGCCTAGCGAATCATCACTTGTTATAATCAACGGCATCTGGAAGGTTCGGCACCATCTCCAATACTTTTCCGCCAAATCGATCTCTCTCCTCCTGAAAACAGAGATTCCAGTCATTTGGAGCGTGAGATCTCTGGTTGATAACGACAAGACTGCGAATCAAGTCTCTACGGTTGACGTGTTGAAGTATCTCATTGCTCAAGCAATTCGCGCCAACAAGAACATTCACAGCGATGCCGCTTTAGCCCCACGTATTGAGGCATACACGGAGGCGAAGACCGAGGAGGATTGGATTACCGAAAGTATCCCGCTCCTCTACATCATTCTTGATATGGAGGTGATGAGTAGATCTTTGCAGGGGCCGACACAGGACTTTTGGCCGGCGGCATTCCTGCAAGTGTTTTCGGAACTCTCGCGACGCGGGACAGCTACAGTACTTAGGGTGGCACTACTAAGCTACCGGCTACCGATATCTCCAAATTCATTTGACAGGGAGGGCAAGGACTTTGTGGTTAACGTTGGAAATACACGCCAACCGTTCATTCCAGCTGGGAGACAGATTACGCGCCAACAACCCCCTTCCAGTGCCGCTGATACACCATCACTCAAGCTCCTGGAAGTGGCTGATTTTCGCAGATCTCGGGGTAGACTAAAAGCGTCCGCCCGACGCCAAAGGAACTAAGGAAGCTCAACATGATTGGGGGCCTTATGATGCAGGCGCTTCAAGCCATCATGAGACGGACACTGGAGAGCCGGGGGGGTGAGGTAAGAGGGGGTAAAGAACAGCCGTAGGATGTACGTAAAGTAGAAGGCAACATCACTCGGAGCCAGATGAGCTTGATCAGTCGCTCCGTATTCTTTCAAAACAATTCCTTAGGTGGGACTAAAGCACCGAGGCCAAAACGGAGCAAGAGACAACTAACCGCCAACGCCGGTCCGTATGGCACATGCAGACCGGGATTTTAGTCAGCAGAGAAGCCCGCACCGCTGTTGGCCAAAATGCTTAGGTACCTATTGTTGGATTGACTGGACGGCATCGATCTCGGCGCCACGAGGGAATTTATGTTACTTGCCTACTGACTTTACATAAGTAAGATTCATCGAACTCGATTTGCTTGCTCCGGGAGTTCTGACACTGCCAGTGTCTGCTCGTTTTCCAGACCAATGATGTGTTTCCGTAGATCAGTAAGTACTTCGTACTTCGTACAGGCGCATTTATGAGCCACAGAGTTCTCAGCTCCAGGGGTTTCGTGGTGGCGCAGCACAGCCATTAATTTCCTCATCAATCTCCTTGGTCTATCAGCACAGCCGCAGCCAAGCGACGTAATGAATCTATAAAGCCTGACGACATAATCAAGAGACCCTTGCGGATTCCGGGCTAAAACTATCCTGAACTGCCTGACTACCGAAATTTAAGGTCATGCAGAAGCGAAGATCTCACAAGAAATCTCGTAACGGATGCCAAAATTGCAAAAAATGGCATACCAAGTGCGATGAGCAGGGCCCGCCCTGTAACAACTGCGCACTTCGGAAGGCCAAGTGCGTCTACAATCGGCCCAAGAATGATGGTGTTAGTCAGAGCGGCGCTCTTACTATACACTCCAAAGGAAGAGAAGCGACTACTTATCGCGCCCACCTCGAGCGGCCGCAAGGCAACGTAGGGTCGCTGTGCGCATCCTACGGGGGGCCGAGTAGGTTGATGGAGCTCGAGCTGATGCACCAGTGGTCGACGAACACATACAAGACTTTCTGCGGCATACCTGAAGATATCGAGTACATGCAAGTCATATTGCCAAGGGCTTCTCTCAACTACGATTACATGTTAAATTGCATCCTGGCTGTCTCGTCTCTGCACATAGCCGCGTCTGTCGGGGAGGCCGAGTCCGCAAGATACGTCACCGCTGCGCTGGAATTCTACAATAGGGGCAGCATGTCGTTTCGGAACAAAATGGGGACTATGAACTCCGAAAATACCCATGCCCTATACATGTTCTCTGCTTTGGCGGGAGCGGTCCATATGTCGATACCTCGGCGCACCGCCAGCGTGCTCGAACAGGTGATTGTGGCGTTCGACCTGGTCATCGGCAGCACCAGCGTTGCCCTCATGGGGTATCCGTGGCTACTCGACAGCCCCTTTCCCATTCAAGTTTTCATGTCACGCATGGGTGCATCGCATGACTGGATAGACGCAGATGACACGGCCGCATTGGCCAGGTTAAGGTCAATCAACGACCAGCTGCATAAGTCCACTTCCGAGCCAAATAGTGATACCGAAGAAGAAAGGGGTAGGGTTGGTATAGTACGCGATCATGAACTGTATGACTTGGTCATCAGCAACCTGGAGACATGCTTTGCGGAAGAGTCGAGGGGGTTATTGCGGGGGTTCGCCACAGCTTTTCCCGGCCAAGCGGGAGGTAAACAGTTTGCTTCGCGCCTCAATAAATCCAATCCCTTTGCCTTGCTGCTCATTATGCATTGGGCTGTACTGATAAACAGGCTTGACGACAGCTTCTGGTGGGCAACCTCGGCCGGAAGAGGACTCGTGGCGGAGATCCTGGACTTGTTGAGGACATACCATCCCCTTTTACTACTGGAATGGGAAGACGCCATAAATTACGTCGTGGACCAGGTCACCTTACCAGCGTCTCAATCACGAGCATTATCGCTTGGCGTAGGCTCAGTAGAGATTGTTGAGGAGCAGTATCCTGACGGAGGGAGTCGACTGCCAACTGACATTTCGATGTTCTAGACATATACTCGAATTCAAACCTATATCATAACTTGAAATTTAATCTTTTGATAATCAAACTTGTTTTCTTTTCATTTGTTTAATTAGGGTTTTGGCCCCGCTGCTGGGTAGATTTACATTGCATCCGCATAGCAAAGTCGAACCGAAGTAATAGGGCAGAGTTACCGTACCTCCTATATACCTACCTATAGCTAAGGCAGGCAGGCTGGCAGGCAGGTATGTAGGTAGGTAGGTAGTTAGGTAGGCGTGATAACATGCTTCTCGTATTATCGCGTAAAGGGGTGCAGAGAAGCATCCGGGACGCAGATTCTTGTAACACACCACACCTCATGAGCCACGATTTCTTGTCAGATCACGTGGGAGTTCCGTCGATGTTAGTGAACGTGTAGAACGTAGTGATATAACTTATAAGTGATAGTCTAGAAGGTAACGAGATGCAGGTAGGCTACAGCTGTGATGAGGTCTATATAGCCAATCAGAGGCGGGGCTACTAGGGGGATTCTGGTATCCCCCTTGGACCTGATGTTATGTAAAGAGAAAAGAATAAAGAAATTTATCTGGCTTGAGTCTTGAACTCTAAGGATCTATCATGCCACCGCCTCAAATATCTCACCAAGCCAATCCATACTAACCTGCGCGAGCTGCGAGTCGGCCCCCAGTTGGCAGTGTTCACCGGCGCCGAGCGCGGTCTTGAACTCGTAGAGGTACGCCTTGTCACCCAGAAGCTTAGCCACCGTCGTCTCCTGGCCTCCTCCAATCAGGTCATTCTCGCCCTTGCCGACAAAAACGGGGCAAGTTACGTTGCTTAGGATATCGGCGTCGAGTTTGATCTCCCCTAACCTCTTAAACGCATCGTAGGGGCTCTCGGTGTTGAAGCTCCACAGGCTCTGGTCGATGAACCATCTGAACTCGGTGGGGGCGTCTGGGCTCACACGTGCTGCATTCAGGTACGCGTCGAACGCGCTTTGGTTGCCGGATGCGAGCAAATTGGCGACGACCGCGGGTAGCTGCTGTAGCACTATCGTCTGGATGTCCATCAAGCCGTCGATAGCTAGGACTGCGGCGAACCGATGCTCCCTGGACGCTGCCAGGGGAGCCAAGATCCCGCCAAAGGAGAGGCCTCCGAGCGCGAGACGTTTCTTGTCCACTTCTGGTCTCGTTTCTAGGTAGTCCACGACCGGAGTAACGACGTCCCACCAGTTCGGGAT